GTTATAATAGTGTATTCAGATCGCTTAATTTTTTCTTTTTTCTGCTTGTTTCATCTATTTTCATTTATATTAGAATCGGTTTAGGTTCTCCTTTCTTTTTTTTCTATTTGTTTCATTTTCTCTTTTATTTTTGTTTTCTTTTTTAAAACAATTTCTATTTTTTTCAGTTATAAGAGAGCTTTTAAAGAGTTTCTTTAAATGTACTTTTCTTCATAATGTTGGCATATATGTTAGTTTTGTATAAAAATAGGAGATAATATGTATAATCTGCTGGAATTTAAGTAGATTAAATTCAGGAAGATATTATCAAAATTTAAAGTGGGATAACTCGAAAGAAAGGATTGGCTTTTAAAAGAAGTCTTTCTTTTGTAAATTGGCATATATGTTTGCGCTATACAGAAGTAGAAAAAAATATATTCTGCTCGAACATTGGTAAAATAAGTCTAAAAGGAAGGTAAAATATAATTGATTCGAACTTAGATAGCTGAGTACCAAGCTATAACAGGTTTTTAAATACGAGTAGCACTGTATGTGAAGCTTGTTGGCAAATATCAATGCGGTAACCATACTTGGGCACTTTATAGCAGCCGGGTATTTGCCTAATATGTAAATTAGATAGTTGATTTTGTAAATTACAAAAATTCTAATAAATTAGTGTGAGGTTATCAAAGAAAAAAAAAATATAAATATATATATTAAATTTATTTACTTAATAAATTAAACCATTTGACTAACTTGACCAAACCACTTGACCAGACCAGTTTAACCAATGAATTTTTGGTCGACCAGTGATTTGACCAACCTTGGTTATAATCTAGATGAAAAAATTATTGAGTATGAAAAAATATATACTGTATATTGCTGTAGCTTATTTGTCATACCCATTATAACTTAAATATAAGGGCGTGATAAATAAGCCGCAGCAAGCCAGCTGATTTGAAACATGATAAATATTAAAGCGAAAATTCTGTTAGTAAAGGTGGTTCGAACAAATGTAAGAGGTACATGTTGAAATGTAAAATGTTGCAAGTACAGGTGTGATAATTACAACACCATCTTGTTACTAGTTAGGGTGAATTATTTTGTCACTGCCGATCATGGAATTTTCCCTCCCAAGCGATTTTTAAGAAATTCAATGAAATTTTTTTTTGAATGATTTTTTATGCGATTAAACTAATCCTGTAATCGTTCAGAAAATTTTTCCCATTCGATATCGATATAAAAGAATTATAGATGAACATTAGTAAAATCAACATTAGTCGTGAGTGACAATAAGATCACCTTTGAGTCTTTAAATAAAATGAAGATTGGTTATTATGGCAATTCGCCGATCGGAGGTCTTGTAGCTACTGCTGAATTAAAATATGCAACACAAAGCAGGGCATGTTACAAATACTAAATCTTTATTATTGTTTTTAGTCGTAGTATTTGGAAATTAATAGATCGTTACCATACTTGGCGGGCTGTCGAAGTAGATAGAAAGTTCGGATGATGAAAATTTGAATTATAAAGAAACCGATTTTATGAATGATATAGGCAAAATTACGGAAAATCATAAATTTAGATGGTTTATATGACGCCTATACATCAAATTATGTTACAAACCGAGCTTCAAATTGTTATGTTAACATTGTTTATTAAATCTTCTGCCGATAACGATAATAAAACCAAAATGAAATAGTTACAAAGTGTCTTTGAATTAGTTTGAATATTGTAAATTGCTTTTCAAATATTCTTCTATTTAACAGAGCGAGACAACATCCTATTTTCTCGTGCCATTTTGTTAGCTGCAGCTCGGCTCCAAAGACTGCTAACAGAATTGCAAGCGTGTGTTGAAAAATCGTTGGAAAAAAACTTGTAAATTGAATAGTAACGCGGCTGTACAAACATCACCGTTGTTAGACATCTTGCAAGAAAGACTTAATAAATTGTATCCTAAATTGATAATTAGGGATGGTACGTAAAAAACATTTTCACCGTTTTAAAACATGTGATTATGATCCGAATTCATTCAATTTAGGCTCCGCATATCAAAATCGCATGTTTTTTTATATAATCTTTTAAAATACATAGACAAACAAAAGTATTATAATGTATATAATTTGGAAATATTTATAATTTTTTAAATAGATAAAATTTTAAGAAATTTAATATTATAGATACGATAGGCGTTTTCGAAGCTTAAAACATAGAGGTGATATGCAAATAGTATAAGTTCTTGTTTTATAGAAAACTTAATCGCGCACAGACAAATGGATATGCTGTCACGTGTTATTTAAATAATTTTTTTATATACGTACTTATGATACGTAAATATTAGAAAAACGCGATCCATAAATGTTAAAAACACGCAATATTTCAGCCTACCGATTAGGTGATTATATCCATTTATTATTCTTTGTCAAGAAAATTTTTGGGATTTAAAGAGAAAAACTTTACAAAAAGAAGCTATACAAAGAAAAAATTACATTCAATTGATAAAAAAAAAAAAAGTACTTTTTATACGGAAATAACTATACTAATAACAACCAATCATCTTTAGAATATGACAACAAATGCTAAAAAGAAAATTACACAGAAAACATCCGGATGCTTATATGTGTTACTCTATTACTAACCACATTCCAAATGGATTATTAGGTTCTATATCCCACGCTAATTATATATTTTTTATTTAAGATTAGTTCGCAGGTAAAAGTATTTTTTCAACCGCATTCTCAGTAATGACCATACATGAAAGAATTATTAGATGACATCGAAACCGCATCGTTTTTTATGAGCGATGGATAATACGGAGAGTAATTGGAGCTAAAACCCGAGTTGACGATTGTGGTGGTATTACCGGGAGAACTAAGAGGGGTTACAGGATCGTTGCTTGAACTGTTATTATTGGAAGTGCTCGCGGTGCTAGCAGGAGATGAAATTGAAGGAAGTGTGGGAGATGGTGATGTTGCTTGATCATGTTGATGTGATTGAGAATGTGATACGGCATTAACGGTAGAGGAGCGGGCAGAACTGTACAAGTCGGGTAGGAAGGGATCTTGGTCATTAAACGTGTTAATGTTGTGAGTTGTAGTAGCCGTATAAAACATGTCACTACTCGTTTCTGCATGATGATTACTAGGTTGAGATTGATGATTCATGGATGGAAGATGATTTCCCGAGTTATGAGGATGTGACGAGTTTGATGAATACGAAGAATATTGATATTCAGGCCAAGAACTGTTTTGTCCGTTCGAATTATTTTGTGTTTGATGATAATAATTATTATAATCTATCTGTGAACTAAAGCTAGGCATTAATGGGGATAACAGCCTCGGCGTTGTATTATTTCCAAGTGATATAATTGGTGGAAATTCATATGATTGCCGATTCATGAATTCACGTACCGAGGGCATTGGTAACGTGTGTGACCCATCAAAAACATTCGAAGTTGTAGTATTATGACCATGTGAAACGTATGTATTTGGATAATTGTGAGTTAAGGAACCAGAATAATAAACGTTGACTCCTGAAGAATTCGAATTTTCAATTTTAGCTCTTAAACGAGACGTGTTTTCATCCGACTTTGTGATAATCGTGTGATGTGAAGCGGTGGTAGCTGGTGATTGTTTTTCGTAAGAAATTAGATCTAAGTATTTTTTTAACAGAAAATTATTCGATCAGTTGATTGATTGCCATCTATTAAAATTTGTCAAATAATGTGTTATTAAACAATCATACTTTTTGAATTTAGTTCACTTTGTTCGTAATTCGATTCGATTACTGGCGGTATCCTAAAGTTTTGTTTTAATAAAAATTCGGGTGCAATTTCAAGAATTGCCAGATCTGGAATCGCAGAAGGGATCTTGAGCTTACAGGCAAGTACATCTTCTTTAGTATAATAGCTGATCATGTGATGATTTACTCCATTCACCATTATAGACATTGTTTTTTTAATTAAACCTCCTTTCTTGAAACGATATGTGTTGGTTAAACTACCAACTAAAGCGCGTTCCTTATTTTTTTCGACTTGAAATTCTGTGTCTGTGCTGTTACTTCTTTGGCGTTCCATCGTTGTGGTTTCCTTCTTTCCTGCCGGTGTACGTTTATCCAGTTCACGATAAATAAGAAAGTTTCCAAGGATGCGTGAAGGGCTCCATAGCAACCCGTCGGTCCAACGTTTTATCCCAGATTCGCGTTCATCAAAAATGAATACGCTTCCTGAAGTTATTATTTTGCGTTCTTTTTCTTGAAGACGTCTACTTATCTTTACGAGATTACCTCTTCGACATGCTTCGAACAAAAGAAGTGTATCTTGTGTTGTTTCAATATATCCTATGAAAGTCGGTTCAATGCTCATATCTGACTTCAATTATTATTATCAATTATTTAAACTTGTAAAATATGAGCTTTTACGCGACTTGAAAAGAATAAAGTTTTATTTAAAGCAGAATGGAAATTATTTCAAAGAGGAAATAAAACAGTGATGATTTGGGGAAGTTCGTCAAACGGGGTGTTTATTTTATATGCGTACGGATCAGGTCTGTGCGACTGCTTTTTTTTTCTGCATTATCTATAAAATATACTGTATATTGATATATATAAAGCAGTGTCTTTTTTTATTCTAACAAATTTAGCACATATTTACGGGGGGAGTCGGTTAAATAGTTGTGAGGGGTAAAGACAGAATGGAATGAGGAAATGTGGCAACGGAAGGTCTTATGAGCTATTATTCGCCATGTCTCGAACCCTTACGACTTTTTGTTTTTACGTTGCTATTTTATGGGACGGATCGTGAATGCATCACTCTGCATGGAATTTCCTATCGTCTTAGTGAGCTTTGACTTGCATGATGATCGCCAAAACACTTGCCAACTTTTTTCTTTTATGGTAATTCTCCATCTCCTCTCTTCAAAGTATGTGTTCTCTGTCTAACGACGGTGGCATAATATATAACGAGTAAGCGTGGCGTGTGGTGTCACGTGAATATATGCTAGGCATTGTTATTAATAACTGTCGCAAAAGTAATAAATAGACTATCATTAAATATGGGTCAATATCTGCAAATCTCATTCTTTAGTTAGTGCGTTACATTGTTCAAGATTAGCGAATTGAACGACCCATAATTCATAAATCTTCATATACTGTAAATCATGAAGAAATTTCTTATATTTCATAGTCAATTAACATCAATACGTAGAATCAATGGATCACTATTAATAAAATTTGTGCCAATCCCCTTCTTTAATCTCACTAGTGTTAGTCATAGAAGAACGATTCCGTATCTTGCCAAGTCGATGAGTAAATTTATGTCGTCTCGTCGAAGTAGAGAAAAGGTCTAGATTTTATGTCCTCTTTAAATCAACGAATATGTTTATTTGTGGATTACGTTTCACTGTATGTTAACCCCCTGAAGCAACTTCGGCATTTTTCAACTATCAATAGCGATTTCAAAAACCTAATAAATATACAGTACTGTACGACTTTAACAATTGTATATTCTTTTTGTTATATGAGAAGTTCTTATTAAATTTAATGTAAAAATACACACTATACAATATATATTAAATATATATTTTAAATAAAATACGTATGAAACTATTTATTTTTATATAAAATATATACTGATACAATCTAAAAATTAATTAATTGCACATGTACGTACTGTACATATGCCAAAAATTATTAAATAAAAATTTATACTTGCGTAGAAAATAAAAAAGTTTAATATTTTTTATAAATAAAATAAATAAATAAATAAATATATATAAATATTAGTAATAATTTTAGCAAATTTGTTTATCAAGTTTTTTTTAGCTATATATATCAATATATATACTGCATTACATACGTACGTATAACTTTTAGAATCACGAATGGCCAAATTATCATTTGATTATTAATTGAATCGCTAAACTAAGCATTCACTTTTTTAAAAAAAATTGCAAACTTAGTAGCTAAAAACTAATCGACGTTTTTGAAATAAAGATTTGATTTTTTTTTGTACCAAAACTTTTTACCAGGAATGACATAGTATATTTTTTATTGGACATAGAAAAAAAATTAATTTAACTTTGGCCTAAATTAAACATAATTCGGCCAATATTCGCTAATACAAAATGTCTCTGATAATTATTATTATTTTGTTTTTTTTTTTATAAAACATGTACGCGTACATAAGTATTCGCATTACCGAATCAACTTAAATTCCGACTAGATAGTTTTAAAAATATATATTTGGTATTGTTTTAGTGAAATATAATTAATTAAACAGAATGTTAGAAACTGTAAAATGATTTATATTTAAAAAATAATAATGACAACAGGTTGATTTTATTTTTAATTTTTAAAATAAAGGCATATTATAAAAGAAAACACACCAAATAAAATAAGTTAACACTTTGAAATAGAGATATTTATTAATAAATTATTATTGTAAATTATAGAGTAAAAAAGTTATGTAAAATAAAAATATTAGGGGGTTTCAAAGTTAACAAATAAGCGACGCATTTCGAAAATAAATAGGATTTTTTCAATAGTATTTTTACT